TTGAATGAAATCCTTCAAATGAACACTAAGGTGGAATTACAAGCTTCGAAAGACAATCCTAGACAGCATTTGCTTAGCTAAAGACATGGGATAAACTGGAAGAATGAACTGACTAAACCTGGATAAAGTTCTACCTTTAGGAGAAAAGCTTTATTATTGCTATTCTACACTGCTAGAGAAGACAGAGGAAGAGGCACACAGAAACACCTCCAGTCTGCCAAGGAGGGAGAGCTCCAGGCTCTCTCATTTGAGCTACATGGATCCACATGTGCTTCACATGACCGGTGTAACACACAGACCCAAAAAGTAAAGCACATGCTCTGCATTTTATACAGGCATACATACATATATGTTGTCTTGGGGGATAAAAAAAATTACACAAGCTAGAGCCAAACATCCCTAGGACAAGACTAGAATCCCAAATGCACCTCAGTTTGCACTGCAGTTTGCCAGGGTTTATATAGATTAGAAAAAAGCTATTACCAATATAACCTGGAAAATGCTGTACAGTACTTCAACACAACTTACTAGCTCAGGCAATTCAATATGATTGATCTTCCTTCCTTCCTAAGGAGCAGGAAGGAAGAACAAAGCAGCAGGCACTGCGTAGCAACTGCCCATTTCATTTGGTTAACTTACAAAACCTGAATCATGTAAGGAAACCCAAAATGCTTATACAGGATCTACTTAGATCATCTGAGGTCAGCCATACCCTCTTCTCTGGGGTTTCATGGTATGCACGTTCAAAAGCTTCACAAACTATTTTGGCATCCAGTAAGTTGCTTTGGGAAACAGCTTCCCTGTCACAGACAGAGCCACCATGCCTGCAGGAGCCATGGACTGAGTATTTACTGCTCCAGTAAAGGGATCAGCAGGAAACTCATGTCCTTATAAAAAGTAAAGCCTGTGTGGCTAAAATATGGGGGTGAATCTATTACATTTCTACATAAAGAAAGGAAAAAAAATCCTTCATGCTGCTACATGAAGTATTTAAGTAACAGGTTCTTGGTTCAGGTTTCATCATTCATTAATTTAAACCCCTCACATGCACACAAACAGCTACAATACTGTTAGGCAATCCCTTACTACATAACCCTTTCGACAGCTGCAGATCCTGGCTCTATATTAGTTCCCAAGAAAAGGGGAGGAGGAGGAAAAAAAGGTCCATAAAAGATTTACCAGATTTAGACCTGATTTACCAGCAAGAAATCCCCTATGATTTAAAAACCAGCCAAGAGCCATTGCTGCCATCCCACCAGGCATTACCAGTCAACTTGACCGGTCCGGGAGACAGCTGAGGACATCAACTTAAACAGCAACTTAAAGAAGCCACAGTGAGTTTAAGCTGAACTTACAGTCAACCCATAAAGCTCAGTGATCAATCACACCATTAGCCTACTTGCTTTTCCATTCTGTTCTTGTTTCAAGTTGTATCACAAGATACTCAGAGCTCGGAAGATAGCTTTCCTATGCTTTCCCTGCTTGGTAGACCACCTTTTAAAGTTACACACATGGCCAGATTTTACTTCAAAACTGGGTTCCAGAGATCTAAATTTTTCACTCCGTATTTCCATAATGGGTTCAACACATGGGAAGAAAACACACACAATGTTGTACACTTACAGCTTTCTGCTTACCATCTCAGAAGTAGGTCTGAGTTAATGTATCTGGACAGATGGCGCATGTGAAATGTAATCTTCCTCCTAGCACATATCTGGCCATTATGTTACACATAGAGCAGGTTATTTCCCCTCTCAGCATTCTTTCCCCAAGACATGCACATGTAAGCACACTGACAGGGGTCTACAATGCCCTCCTGACTGCAAGAGGAAGACAATAACTGATAGATGATGCAATGATACACATGGACTCTCCAAATCACACAGCAACTTACATGACGGCTTGATGCCCCTGAGCATCTGCTCTACAGTATCTGGCAATCTGCACACTCGTAGCTTTGCCTTGCACAAGGGGATTCAAGTAATTTGAATTACCTCACACTTGGTTTAGGGACAGGCAGATAAATGGACAGTTACCATGAAATTGTGAGTGCCAGGAAGCTTACTCAAGCGACTGCACTCTAAGGAAACAAAAATGCTCTTCTGATTGGAACAGGTAGCAAGTCCCAAGTTGAACAATTCTGAGATTGCACAGGGTTCCTAAGTATCTATTACAAGGCAAATTGGTTTCAAAAAAGGTGTTTTCATTGCCCAACAGAGGTCAGCAGGAGTAGCTACCCTGAAAATGCAGAATACTCTGCTACACTATAAACTATTTCATTAGAAGACTTAAAAACCTGTCTACACTACAAGCAGCATACAGATACTTTACAGAGGCAGCATGAAGCCTAAATATCCTGACTTGTTATGGAGCTGTAGGTAAATTAAATGTTATTCAAATTAAATGTGACTTAAATGCAGCTAATACTGTTGTGAGAAGCAGTGGTAATAAAAAGTGCATACCACACATGCTTATTTTAGGGCAGAAAGACACTGCAAACAATCAGAACAGTAACAGGAATGGCAACAGAAGTAATCTGAGCAGGACTTCTTTTGCCTCAGTATTCCATCTGCTGACCAACTATTTAACCAATGCAAAGCTTTTCTATAGTGTTTTAGTCCTGCTATTTCCAAAGCATTTGATGTACCCCTTACGAGGAGTGACAGGCTTCAGGACTGGATGAGGGATTAGACTGAATCAAAAATATTGTACAGTTTTGTTAGAGAAAGACAAACTTAAAAAAAAAAAACCAAACAATTTGTGTTCTAAATTTTAGCCTTTTTAACCAGTCTTCCCACTCTGAAGGCAGTAAATTCACAACTCCAGGTTCCTCTCCACAGTGCAAAGAGACTCTTGCTTTCCTACTAAAAATTACTGTGCAATTATTGTCCAGTCTGGGATCTGTCTGGGATTTCTGCAAGAGTAACAACCCATTTTGGACTAGGCAAAAAGAATCACTGTGCTAGATCTCTGTGGGATTGACTGGGAGTATTGGGAACAAGTATGTGTCACCACTGACACTACCCCGCTTGGCCAGGCTCCAGCGTGACCGCACTGTGCCAACCCGGGCAGCAGACTGGGAGCCAGCCAAGAGGTCGAGCAGGCCTCAGCAGCGTGAATGCAAATGGCTTTAGTCGTGGTAGGTCTTTTGTAAGCAGCGTAAGGGGCATGCTGGCCTCAGAAAGAAGTTAAATCCTGTTTCCAAACTGTGAGCGTCTGTGCACCATCTGGGTCCTAGGGAGCGAAGCAGCTGTGTTCCCTTTTCCAGGAGGTTTGTCATACCTCCTCAGAAGGGGATGCGAAAAGGCCAAGGAGGCTCCTTGAGCAAGCAAACACCATAACACTGTCACATCGTAAACCCATTTCTCTGTGATTTGAAGATGCCAAAGCACTCTTTTAAGCTTTCAAATCTGCTTTTTTGGAACCCAGATTTGTTAAAAGATAAGTGTTCTCATTTCTTGGACCTGAAACTCTCCAGTAATCCTCTTCGTCCACATGCAATAGGGGAAGAATGCAATAGGGGGCTAACAGATGCATCATTCCTTGAATTCCCATCTGCACACAAACCCCAGCCAAATCCTTTTGTTCAACTTGCTGAGAGGAGTCAGATCAAAAGTCACTGAGCTGTTTAGACAAACAACAAACTGGAAATCATAGGAGTAAAGATTCGTCATAATTAAGCACAGACGTTTTGTACTCTATGAGGAACACACACCCTGTGCAGAAAAGGAGAAAAGAGGGGTACACAGCTCAGCAGATGAAGATCCTAGTCATCTATTGCCTCCAAAGGATTTATTCAAGTCAGATTTACTAACCATAAAATAAGCATCTATCTTGCCTAAAATATGACACAGAATTGAGACTTTAAAGATACAGAGAAAAATTTCCATCAAATTCAAACTTTACTGTTATTGACAGATCCCTATTCAGCCTCTTTAGCCTTTGGCTCTTTCCTTCATACATGGCCATATTTTACAACATTAGTTATCCCTGCGACGTTCTTCGTAACACTGGATAAAGCCATGTGAAGCGGGTATCACTGCCTTTGAAATGAGACACAGTAATGCTATGCAATTATCAGGATGACCGTGGTCCCAGAACAGACTGTCCCCATGACATGCTGCCAACTGACCTGGAACACTGACAACACTATCACATAACTGTCAAGCTTGACAAGAAGAAATTAAGTCACAGGAGAGTTTTCACAGGTTAAAAAAACATGATTCCAAAAAAATGAAACCTATATCAGGTATATCTGGATACAAAATTCTTCACTGGGGAAAGGGAAACAAGATGAACTGCACAAGACTGGAATTCTGCAAGGAAACTGAAAGAAAAATCTGACCAGAAAACACTAGCACTCCTGGGCAAGAAGTAGCCAGAGACTGAATTATGAAGTATTTCCCAAAACCACTTTCTAGCAAGTTTTCTAGGTACTGTAACATGCCTTTTTGACCTCTGAATAAAGTGCTCCTCAAAGATAGTTTCCCATTACTTATACTTTCACACAGGCAAGTTATAGATGTAACACAGACTTGACTTTCACCCCTTTGTTCATTCTATGCTAAGCCTTGAAAGAAAACAGATCCACCACAAAAGGAAGACTGAAGTATTTCATATGCTACACAGCAAAACTTACTCTTACCACCATCTAGTCAAAAAATAGTCTTATCACTTCAGTAAAACACAAATGTGATCTCCACCTTGGAGACACGTTCTGCTTTGTACATTTTTGTTTGCCCAGGGATGAAGTACCATCCTTGTGAGTCTGAAAGCACGTTGTAGGGCAAGTCCTTCACTCACCAATGACACCTTCTACAGCTTTATTTGATAAATGAAATCCATATTAACACTTTTGAAAGGGCCACAGTTTCATAAGGCCTTGTCACCAAGGCAAGCAAGCCCCTTCTAAACTGGATGTTCTGGCAAACAGGGTATAATCCAGTTCTGGTAGCCTGTATGCAGCGGTGTCTCACTTCCCAGACATAGGCACAACTTACCGAGTGCTCTGGCAACTGCCAGGAAGGGAATCTGGTCGATGACAGTGCTGCGGCGCACAGGGCCATTGTGAGTCAGGCGAGGCCTCTTCCAAACAACACGATTCACACCAGACTTGTTGATCACACTAAATCCATCAGAAAGAAGCAGGGGTTAAAAAGGAATGGAAATGAAAGCATGGAAGTTGGTTTCAATGACACAAAACTGGTTTAATGTGCAAATAGGGAGTCAATAATGACAGCATCCTCAGGGAAGTCCACAGCACAATTAAATATTTCAAAACACACGGTATCACTCAGTTTCATTCCATATTAAGCCAAATGGAAACGTGGAACATGAAAGGCAGAAGAAAAAGCAGGGGAATTAAGACCTGGAAGAAATTCTGGCTGGCTGCAACAACCAGAAGTAAGAGTATCTTTTCAATCTGTCAGAGAAACAACAGATCTGAATTTGCTTTCCTCAGATGAGGACCATCAACGTCAACTCACTTGGGTGGAAATAATCATGTAGTTCTTCCTTCAGTTTTCTCCATCTGCCAGAGTTTGGCAGTGAGGAGCAGCACAGTGCAGTTGAAAAAAAACAAAAGAGAACAGAGCACAGCCTTCTACAGGGATTTCCTTAAAGGTGCATCAATATGAGGCAGATATAAAAGAAGAATTGTTCATAGAATCATAGAATTCATGGTTGCTATCTGCTGAAACCAGGAGATAAGAAGAAACAGCTCTGCGTCTGAATGTTAACACCTGCCCTAAGGCACCCAGCACTGGTTTTTGTTCTCACAAAAGGCATCAGAAGGAGAAGCTACAGCACAGTATGGGCCTATAAGGATGCTGGGGTGGCACTCTTCTTCAGGAACTGTAGTGACACGACAAGGGGTAACGGGTTAAAGCTTAAACAGGGGAAGTTTAGATTGGATATAAGGAAGAAATTCTTTCCTGTTAGGGTGGTGAGGCACTGGAATGGGTTGCCCAGGGAGGTTGTGAATGCTCCATCCCTGACAGTGTTCAAGGCCAGGTTGGACAGAGCCTTGGGTGACATAGTTTAGGGTGAGGTGTCCTTGCCCATGGCGGGGGGGGTGGAACTGGATGATCTTAAGGTCCTTTCCAACCCTAACTTTCTATGATTCTATGATTGAGGAAGAAAAGGCAATGGAACAAGGAACTAGCAAAGCCTGGTCTCAGAAAGTTAAGAACTAGATACTTAAAAGCTAGCTTTTATCCAAGGAACAGCCACTGGTAATTAGAAACTGAAAAGCTCTGGAACAGCCTCAAGTTTCCTCATACTGAAGCTATTCAAGATGCCCTTCCTGAGACTTCAAAGGCCTTAACAACAAGAGCATGTTTAGCTCCATCCTTCATATGTACAGTGCAGCAAAGTCACAAACATCACATCCTAGAAAGCCATCTCATCCACTTGTACAACAAATAACCTCACAAAGCTAACCTCAGCCACTATCAGAAACACAACCTGATCCCATGTTCATACACTGTCACTAGGAAAATTGCATTTGTAATGCAAGATTCAATTATGCTCTCCCACTGATTTTTCCCAATTTGCTTTCATGGAAGAGAGGACATTAATAAGTAGAGTTGCATAGTTCCACCTCACTCCTACCATTTGCTTCACAATAGCCTGCAGCAGCCAGCCTGGGAAGCACAGAAGGAGGACCAGTAAAAATAAAGATTTAAAAAAGAATAAAATGAGATTTAACAATTCCTGCTGATGCAAAGTTCCAGGGAACGCCTCTTTGAAGCTTCAGAGACTTCCAGTCTCCGAGATACACAACTTGGGAACCCATATACTTGCAAGTACTAACCTAGCAAAACTACACATCACCCTTCCTGAAAAGCTACAGTACAGCTAACTGATCAACTTCCACCTGCTAGAGATACAAATGTCTGAAGGTTAATGAGCTGACAGGGTTCTCGTATGGATGATGTCAACAGGAAAACCTTCAGTGATCTGTCTCTGAACTACAAGAGAAGGAAACCATGCCCATCCATCTGGTGCGTATTGCGGAGCAAAAGAACACAGAGCTCCTGTGAAGCTATGCCAAATGCGAGCCCTGAGGTTTGTCTCAAAACATTAGTGCCATCTGACAAACCTGCCAGCCTTCCTCCTCAGTCACAGGAGCACACATCAACCACAACTCGGAGATGTTCCAACATCTGCCAGCTCCTGACAGTGAGGAAATTACTAATATACGTTAAAACATGGTATTCTAACATTTTCAGTGTGTATTTAAACACGGCAAATACAGTATCTTGTTTCAAATCTAAGATTTTTTTATGTTCCTTAAACAGAAGCTTTGGAGAGCCAACTCAACAGCTGCCATTGTCACCTCAGGAACAATGCAGAATGCAGGAGACATCACAGAGTATACTGTGTCAAAACTGCTGTGTTGCCACCCTTTGACAAACCAGATACGCCAGAGCTCATCTCATTATCTTTATGGCAAGGCAATCCTGTCCCCCCAGGTTCCTCAGAATTTAATGAAAAATAGGTCAAACAGCAGGATCTCCACTTCCAGTTTTCAGAGAACATTTAGAACTGGAGTTTAGACCAGCATCTTATTTAAAACAGCACCTCAGCTGCCCGATCCACCAGGAAATGAAGAGTTTGCCTACATCATAAATCACCAACAAAAAGCACAACAGCGCAACAACAGATCACACTAACCTATCCCTCAACAAGCTAGGAAAAAAACACAGAGCACAGACAGGGAAGGAATATAAATAGACCATGAGATTCACCAGCTTGCTTGCTCCCCCCCCTCCAAAACAAGCACGCTTAAGCCTAGTGCAAAGACAGAAATAGCACCAGAGATCAAAACTGAAGTAAAAAGCACAGAGACAGTTACCTGCCCCCAAGGCCTTCAATTCTCTCCCTTTCTTTGGGAAGTTCTGGCTTGTGGTCCTGCGTCACCTCCACAGCTCTCACGAAGTCATCTTTGGGGTCATCCTGGACTCCCAGCACCACTCCCGAGTCACCAACATGAGCAACATACATCTTTGACCCGCGGATAATTACCACGCTGGCAGTGGTTCCCGACGTGCTAGGGAGCCCTGTCATGGTCTTTGGCCACTCTGCTGCAATGAGATTAAAAAAAAACAAGTAAGAATACCTTCGATTTCAATTCTGTGGAACTGGTAACGTTCTGAGGCTCAAGAGGAGGGTGTGCCACAGAGCCTTGTGTAACATTACAACACAGGGTGTGTTTAACTATAGTACAGCCAGGCAAACCAGTGCCCTCAGATCCCCCCCACTTTCGTAACATCACTCCCCTACACAGAGCTTCAATTAACACATATAAAGCCAGTGTCAAAGCACAAAGAGAGGAGTCAAGAAGCTGTCTCTTCTGGTTTCATGTTCTAAGCACTACTAGAAGAATATGGTGCAAGATGTGCTCCTGGAGTGCTGAACGGGATCAATCAAGTGTTTTGTTAAGCTCTGCTGTTCACTTCCCTGGCTGAAGAGGTAGCAACGTTACAGATCAGGTCATTTTTCTGGACATTTTTCTGGCAGGCAGGTATTCTGGACATTCCTGAAGCCTTGGAAGGAAAGAAAATGCTACCTTACTTTGATATGCTGAACAACATTTTGAGTAACTTCTCAACAGCCTTAGTCACATTTCCTTCTGGAGGACTGAATGAAGCAGACGATTTTAGTACACTACTCAAAACCCAACTTCAAATCTGCGAAAGTTATCCCTTAAATTCAGAACAGCAAAATACCCGTACTAGTGTGAACTACACATGGTTATGGAAATCTCCTTTCTCAACTGTTCTGCCCTCAAAACATAACACTCTCTCCCCATTTATGTCTAATCCTAATTTCTCTTTCCTGCCTTTTCTTGTCTATTTTTGTGTCTACACACCCAAGTTCATCTTCTTCCAAAACCCCACCAAATGACTGAGACGACATCCTAATTAAGACAGATTAGCCACACCAGTCCTCCTCCCTACTTCAGCACCCTGAGAAAACAGAACTCAAGTTCCCAGTTATCAACTGATTTCAACTGTCAACAGCAACCTCATGTTTCTTCCTCACTGCACCCACTCCTGTCTTCAAACTCAGAAGGGAGACTCATCTCCTTGTCACATTCTATCTTCTGCACTTCACAAGTCACATTCACACAACAGCACAACATAAAAATTCCACTATGATACACATTCTGTTTGCAGGAAATACCCAAGCCAGACTGCCAAAGCACTGTATTATTTATTTTCCTAGACCACAACAAACAAGGGGGGGGGGGGGGGGGGATGTGAAGGAAATAATATAATAAGGCCTTCTCCTCTGTAGAAATAGGTATTTTAAACTTCAGAAGTTTCAAAGAGAAGCAAAAGATTAGGAACTTAGGTTCTAGGGTCAATGAATGATGTGCAGAAGCCCAAGACAAGAGAAGGTATGGAAGACATGATGAAGGAGAAGCAGAATTGCGCAGCATGATGGTAAAAGCTCATTTCCTCAGTGTTAGCTACCAAGAAACCCAGCATAATTTAAACATTTAAGCTCTAACAGAGTTCTAGCTTTGTGTTCTAAATACTAAACTACACTTTCTCCCTAGGAGAAGCTTTATTTCAAGAACACAAACATTCAATCAGCTTATTGAAGTACTTTGTCTGGCAATTTTAGCTGTGGATATTAAATCTAACACATTCCAAATGGAAAGCAAATGAGGGAGGAAGCCAAGTGGTAATGAGGACTTCAACCATGCACTTAACAGAAAACAAGCTGCAACTAATGAGTTTCTGTCAGTGCAACAACTCCTCAATAGCAATAAAATATATTAGAGAGTCAAATCAGTCTTTATGGGAGTGAAGAGCACAGTGAAATCACTCACGAGAAAAAGAATGACACAGCAGCCTCAGGTTTTAGGCTCCAACAGAACAGAAATTAGATATGCCTATCACCAAGGGATTTTAGTTTATGCCTTGCTCCTGTTTAGAGAGAAGTATTATATATAGCACAGCATATTCCTTTATTTAGAGATTTCATCTCACCAGAAATTAACAAAAGTGTCAAAACTGCTGAGCTTTCCCTCTGAGCACAAGCATTAAAACTGAAGTCTCCCACCAGACTCCTCCACACAGCATGTTTTTATCCATCATACACCCAGCAACAGGACATCTTCTAACACAATTTGTCCCCTCCACTTGAAAAACTGCCCTTCACTCAGCTTTGTAACTTGGAATTGGTAAACTGAGATGCCTTTGTAACTGACAAAATGAAACTGTCACCTAGGACAGAAGTATAAAGAGATTTGCTTCATAAAATTTGACTTGGTTGCATTTAAAAACATTTTAGTGCAAACTAAATGGAACCCCAAAGAACAAACATGTACAGGACACTACCATCAAGGCCCCGTATTTCTTTTACAAGATCTTTTATAAGACAAGTGGGCACAACTCCACTGCAGCTGGGAAGCTTTCCATCCAAAAATCCCATCGTTATGAAACAGCGCAGCACACGCTGACCCAGCTGATGCGAAACGAGAGCAGGAGGTAAATCCCATCTGCGTCTAGCAGGGTACCAGCAGCACTGCCTGCTACAGACTGTCACAATACCTGCCCACAAAATACCATACCTTCCAGTTCAGCAGATGTACTCCCCACTCTTCCAAGGAAAGAAGATTAAAGGAAAAAGAGAAAAGGCACATTAAGTGTTCAAGATATCTAAAGCTATCAGATTTATAATCCAGTTTGTCCTTTACAACAGTGAACAGTTTCAAGAGGCAAATCCATGCAGGTTCCAGGACTGTAAGTTGTTTATACACAACCTGCAATTACTTCTTATTTTATTCACCCTTCTTCTGGTGGAGGGGCTGGAGAGAGGGGTAGTAACTGGTTTAAAACAACGCATCCCAAACAGTATCTGTTACACCAGAATATGGATCCTACACCTGGATACCACATCTGTAACGGAAAAAGAAATACTCTGGCAGTCTAAAAAGCAAATTCCCTTATGATGGTTGGTGTGTGATCTGAAACATACAAACTGCTTCAAAATGTGCATGCGGAAGTTCTGCTCCTGTTCATTTTTGAGAATGATTCAAAATTATTCTGGGAGTCAAAACCTGCTAGGGAATACATTTCATTCTGATCTCCCTGGTTTTATACAGGTTAACTACAATACCTTAGTTAAATTGGCTTTGTTCTAAAATTCTTGTTAAGCATTCAAAAAAAATAAATGCTATACGAACTTTTAATACAGCAACAGATCCTAAAAACTTTACATTATCCTGGAAATCTGCATTGCCTCAAGTGGTTCAGGCCCTTTACAGATGAGAATACGTTACAGAAACTTCAGCATGTCTAAGAATAATCCTGACATTATTTTGCAGTGAAAATTTACAACCCACCCTTGCTATTTCATGAGAGATGAAAATACTATTGAACTTCTATTGCTTTGATTAAATTTAATGGGAAGAGTTATAACCAAAGCAGAATCACACAGCTCTAAACTATAAGTAGTCACGCTGAAATAAATGTTTTTAATAGTATCAAGCTATACAAATAATTCAGGACCAAAGAAATATAAACCTCAGAAGAGTCACTTCAAAATCTGGGACCTCCTGGGAACGTTTCTCGTAAACACCTTTCCTACCACTGCCAATTGTTGGAGCAGGCTTCAAACACGAACTTTTACTCCGGAAGCCCTTTCACATACAGAGAAATTTATTTATATAAATTTATATAAAATTATATAAAATATTTATATAATTAAGGACAAAAATTATCAGCAAAGACAACGGGGTATTTTTCTGGTACTCTCATGATCAGTGTTTCTCTTCTATACAAGAATGTTTCTTTTCACAAGAGATGGCCACTGGGTTGACCCACAGGTTCCAAGAACCAACAAAGCAGCAGTGTATGAGCTTTTCCAGCAGCCATCAACGGTAAGCAATAAAAACTTCATCCTTTACACCAAAAATCCAAACCATTTTCCCACCCCTGTTTCAAGACACCAAAATCCCATCTCCCTTTCAAGTTCATAGAGTTGCCAAATTATGGTAAAAGATGTGCCCTATAGTCGATGATACGGAGCACTATTTACCTTAAGTAAAACTTGTATGAGAAGTTATAAACTAGATATAGTGATGCTTTTGTCCACTAAAACTGTAGCTGTCAAGCACATGAAGCAGAAACCAGTAAGCCCAAGCACTCTATGTAGAAGTTTACAGCCTGCCTAAAACCGTCACCAAGTGCTCACAGCCAGAGCTATGTTGTTTCCCACAACAATTTAAATTGGTTCCACAGCCCAGGTAGTGTTTGCTAAGCACTCATTACTAAAATAATATTTCCTGCATTCTGTCACTCCACTCCCCTCTTTGCATCTTGTATTCACATAGTTACAGTGACAAATAACAGATCAAGGAACTGCACCCAGAAAATGAAACCCCTTCCTTTTCAAACCCCCCCCCCCCCATACCATCTTCCCCTATTCACACATCTTTCTCCTCCCCATGCAATCCTGCAGCCTCCGAGGATCACACACCACTCAAGGAAGGCTCTGGTCAAGTTCTGGTGCTTCTAAAAGTTACGCCTTTCCTTTCTGCCCAGGATCAGTGTGCCCTCAGCCTTCCCCCGTATCTTTTCAAGAACCAGACATTCACAGAAATTCTCTGTTTTGCTGTTCAAGAAAAAGGAAGAAAACGAAACTGGTTTGACACTGTAATGCGGGACCCCGCCCCCATCGCTCCGCTGAAACCCCACCCTGTGCTAAGTGCAATTCTTGCTTTTTATGTTCACCTTCCAAGCCCACTGTCAGCAGCACTTTGTTTCTGACCCAATGGTACTGTGTCCCACTCCTGCCTGCCTGTTTTCAAATGCTGTTTGTTCACTGTTCTCGTATTTTCTCTTTCTGGGACCTTCGAGGACATAAATGCATACACAACACACTCTTTGCACAGTATATATGAATCATAGACAACCATACTCTAAACCATAATCTTCCCTTTACCGAGGAAAAAAAGTAATTCCTTTCAAAAACTCAATTCTGCAGTCTCACTCTATCTCAGGGAGGAGGAAGGCTACAAGAACAACTGTCACCTGTCTTGTAACTCTCTTCTCCTTAATCCTTACCTGTTTAGGACCGCAACTTCTGCTACAGCTACCAGTTTATAAATCTTTAGGATACTGTTTCCTATTTTGGCAGGTACACTACATACTTCCCAATGCTCAAACAATATAGAATGAGCAAATTATTACCCTTTATGGAACAGCCAGATTTTGAACCCTTCCAACAGAAACCTACAGAAAACAGTTGGGATGAAGGCACAAGGAAAAAAACACTGTCTCAACCCATTTGAGTTTGCTAAAATTACTTTTTTTTTCCTTTTCATGATGCTTTGGGCAAGGGAAATCTAAGGGCGAGCTCCATCAAAGTAACGAGATGAAGACCTCCCAATAAACCGAATTTAGAGATCCGGCTTGCAACACCCCGAGAGCACACTGCAGCTCTATAATCACATCACACTACACAGCACACTGATCCTACAGTGTGTCCTCCCACAGTATGCTCTCCAGTTTTTCTTGTACCGAATTACTTGACTCAACACCTCGGATCACATCCCGCTCTCCCCTCCCCGTTCCCTGCACACAGTCGATGCCGCCAACAGCGCGGGTGCCCCGCTCCAAAACGGAGATAGAGGGAGGCTTTGAAAACACTCAGCTCAGAATAGTGCGGAGGTGGCGGGCGGGGGGGAGGAAAAGGCGGCTAAAAGCGGGATGTCCCGCGCCCAACGGACACCGGCAAACGGGGAACGGGAGGCGAACAAGGGGGTCCGCTGTGCCCTCGGTTCTCGGAAGCGAGACCTAAAGGGGAAGCACGGCCGGGGGAAAGACCGTGAGCCGGCGGCGCTACGGGGCCTGAGGCGGGTGGGTAGAGGGCCCGGCGGAGCGGGGACGGCGGCAACCGTTACTGGAGGGCGCCAACCATTCGTAACTTACGCAGCTTTTTCCACATGGCCCGGTGGCAAGCGATGAAGCCCTTGCGCAGGGCCGCGCACACCTCGGCCGGCTCCGCCGAGCAGAAGCCCTTCTGCTTCTTGATGAAGCCCCACAGGTTCTCCCGAGCGAACTGGGCCGCCTCCCGGCCACCGTGCCCGTCGCACACGGCGAAGAAGGCCACGGATCGGCGTGGGCACCCGCCGAAGCCGGGGCCGGGCGGCAGCGCTGCCTCCTCCGGCGCCCGCGGGCTCCGTCCCCTACGACGGCAGCTCTCGGCGAGGGGCTCGGCGGCGCGCGGGCCTCCGGGCGCCGCTCCCCCTTTGTGCGGGGGACTGCGCTCCGCTTCGGCCGGCGATTCGGGCTCCACCACGATCTGGGTCACGTCCTCCATGTATTTCCTGCCGCCCTGGTCGGAGTACACGCTCACCCCCAGCGAATACCCCTCCATGGGGGGGGGAGAGGCTCGGCGAGGCGGCGCCCGCCGCTCCCCGCCCGCGATGGCTCCCCGCCCGCCGCGCACTACCGCTGCTGCCGTTGCGCCGCTCGGGCATGTCCGCGGCCGCGCGCCGCCTCCAACAGCCCCCACGGGATCGGCGGGCGCGCAGCCTGCCGCGCCGCAGCGCCCCCTGCCGCGCCCCAGCCTGGCCAGGCCCCTACCGCGGCGGAAGGGGCGGCCGGGCGCGGCCACGGGCACCACGGCGCCCCCTGTCGGCGGCCGGCGGGCACGCAGGTAGCGCCAGCCGTCGGGGCGGAGCAGGCTCCCTCGGCTTAAGGCTACATTCACAGCTCACTAGCTGTAAGTAGGGTGTCAGCTACCAACTCAAAGCACGGCGCTCCCGTGCTGCTCCAGAAACCCCAGCACGTTCCTCCACTCCATCCTGCCCTGCTCCTGGCCGCAACACCCCGCTGTCCTGCTTGGACAATGAGGATAACCAGCAGTGATTTCCCAACAGTGATTTCCTGTGGGATGTGTAATTCTGGGACACGCTGATGCACTGTTTACACTTGTGTCTATTTAAGACCTTCCCTCCATACTGGAGAGTTTATGCATTTCATTTTTCTAGGCAAAATCCCAGACATCGTTTTCTTTCTGATCTACTACTACTCTCAACTCCCCGAGGCCCTTCCCACTACAAGCTCCAGCCATCTAAAACCATGACTTGAGTCTTGCAAAAGCACTGACACAGTCAGTAGAAGGAAGGTAATTGTTTGGCTCAAGTACAGCAAGTACTTTGGATTTCCTGCCATTATCCACATTAAAGTCAACAGTACTTAAAAAAACAAGAAAAGCATCCACAGAGCTCTGAATTTCTAGAGTGCCAGGGGATTTGGAAACCTGTTACAAACATTAATGAATTAATAAGCTCTAATCCGATAAGATAGTGATCCCTTCCTAGGTTACATCTGCTGAGACCATCAGATCAATCATCAGATCATCATCCCAACACAGAATTGCTTTAACTCTGTCCATTCAGTTTCATAACAGACTATTTTATGTATTTGCAATATGAATGATGAAATATGCATAAAGGAGGCCAAGACTAATTTGAGCTTCATACAACCCAAATCACCATTTCCCATTCCACTGACACATGAAGCTCAGCACTTACCAGGCTGCAGCAGTCCCACGCACACAAAAGGGGGTGAACAGATTTTGTTCAACTCCTTTTTAGTACAAAGCAGCCGGAAAACAAAGAAACCAACTTGAAACTATTAACAAAAAAAGGACAAAATAATATTACCAGATCTAAGTCACCATAGGGACAACTGAAGCCCATTACTTCTGGGAAGCACAATATCCCTGTTCCATAGCTGAATAAATAAATGCATCAGGATTAGTGCTATTCCATAGAGGTAATGCTTTCCTAAACGATTTTGAGTAGAAAATCACATCCTACTCCAGGAACAGAAACAACCAGACCACCTCCTGCCCCTACACTTCACGTAGACATATTCTCAGTAGCCTGGTGTTTGTAAAGAGGTTAAGGAAGAAAAGGGGAAAAAAACATTAGTTATAATGGAAGAAACTCCTCTTCCAACTCCAAGGTATTTCTGTACCTCCTTTTCACATGCAAGTATTCCTTTTGCTTTTTCAATTAGAATAAGGCACCTCATTTTTGTCATGAGTTTTAAAATCAAGACAATACCATCATCTATAAAACATACTTACACTCACAAATTTAACCAAATTAAAACACATTAAAGATGTTTTCGCATGCAACAACTGCATTCCCCAAACCGCTGCTGGAAAACAAAAGTACTTCAAGATTTACAGTGCACACAACCAGCAGATCCCCCAGCAACTAAAACCATATTTCCTCATTTTCTCCTGAAGTCCTTGAGCTCACGAGAAACTTCAGCTCAACTAAACCAGATGCTTGCAGAAATAGGAACATGTATATGAAAGTTGAAGACATGAAGATAAAAGCTTTAAATAAAGATGATGTTTGATGGAGAGCACCACTGCAGTTTTTCTGCTCCAGGACAAGTACCAGACAATAACTGAAGGGCAGTTTGGCATTTTCTCATGTGCCTCTCACTTGTGTATAAAAACGTGGCGTGCTTTTCCTGGTTTTATACTTAAAGGAACGACATGCTAAGCAAAAAACACCCATAGACCCTCAGCAATTCCATACAGAGAAGTTAGCTTCAATGGCTCATCAAAATTGAAAGCTTTTTTTATATAAGTAGAGTTACAATCATTTAATGCAAAATGTTCCTAAAACAACTACTTTGTATGACTTTGATGACAGCTTACTCTCTTTTTTGGCTAACAGTTACTGAAATAAATCCATTTCAGAGTGGCTGCACAGGCCTTATTATTGCTTGGGCTGGTTTAACTAATTAAAATAGTTTCTCAAAATTAAAGGCCACAAATTCTTTTATGGATGGGAAGTTTTTAGTTTTCCTTTTAACTTTCGTTTAAAAAAGTTCTCAAATAGGCTGAAGCTAAATTAAATTAGTTACATTTTCAAAAAAAGAATGACCCCATATTTGGCCAAAACAGATTAAGCAGCCATGGTTTAAACCCAGATGAAGCTGTTAGGTTTGCTGGCAGCAGCAGCAAAGTGCTACAACTTCCAGCAATTCTCTTACTTTCCAACTTTGCTACACATCCTACAGTCTGCGAGATCTAACATTCAGCCGTCTCTCCACGGTACCTTTGAGCATTACCTATCCACAGGCTCAACAACTGAGAAGCAAAAAGAAGACACAGAGAAACATACAAAAGGGAACAAGATGCACAAGGTCTCCCAACACTGCAGAAAGGAGAAGCATGGTGTAGCAGAGACAACACCGTGCTGTGCACCAACACACCACATTGCTCCTCAAATGACACCTCCTATGAGTCAGAAATTAAACATTCTAGAGGTCTACACTCCAGCAGGTAAATAAACTACCTCAGCAGGAGCAGCAGGGAAGAAGGCTTACACAGACACTAATATTTTTCACAGCAGTGCTCCTTTGCCTCACCTGCATCAGGCAACAAAAAGGACCGAGACAGATACCTTCAACTTCAGCTGAATTCCTCGCCACAGGCCAGTGCTGGATGCCCTTTCTTTTCTAGCAGCATGCTTTAAAGTTACACAAGAGTTCTACTTTGTAAAAGCCATGGTTTTGTCTGATGGATGAAAAATACCAAGTTCTCAATAGCTCCAGGTACATAAAAAGCTCATAACCTTACGAATCCCAGAACAGCAGAGAGCAGCACTGCTCATCTGGCTTTGGCAAACCTAAGTTCCTGAAGCCTTCATTTGTAAAGCACCTCATCAGGCTTTAGTGACTCACCTTCATGTATTAGTGCTTACAGCCACATAATAATTCTTCTCCTTCCTCCAGCCCCGAGTAAGCTTCAACAAGCCAAGCAGATAGTGACCCAAAGGTTATCTACCTCTTACAGCTCCTGATAATCTATATGAAATGTATTGATCATCTCAGATAAAGCATGAGAATCTCACCTAAAAGAAGAAACTAAAACTGAATAGAATCCGCATCTTTAAAGGATTTTCCCTGCGCAACAAAGGAGTACAGGACCTGATCACACAAGGAGTTAACACCCTCTGGGAATGATGGAATATAATCTCAGTTTCCTCATATTCCCTGAGGCATGACCATAATGGCATTGCTTTAACATTTCATCCAGAATGTGACTACTGAAGCAATGCATAGGGAAAACACAAAATTGAAAATGTATTTATCTGGGTTGCAGTAAACATGAAAGGAAAAAAAAAATACCATCATTAAAAAAAGATCTGTCAAGTTCATGTGAATGCTCTGCATTTAGCTCTTGTTTTAGAGCAACAGTCTGTTATGTTGGCTCCTCTACAGTTTAATGATTTCCTGTTAAGAATTTAAAATTAGAAGCCTCCAACAACTTCCCCATAAACTATTTTCAAGGTTCCTTTAACATCCACATCAAGGAGATATAGTAGGTTCATATGTTATCCATGTCAGTTCACTTCCTTCCCACTTCAAAATAAGCACATTGCAGGAAAATTCAGCAGGTTTTTTATTGTCTACTTAGAGCCTTTCCCCCCCCCCCCCACGCTAAGTACGTCCAGTTATAGTAATTAAAAACATAAAACTTTCACATATATGAGCTCAGATTTAAGCCATGAGAAAATGAGAACCTCTGGTCTGAAACAGCCTAAACTAGGATAGATTATGACCCAAATCCAAATTTTCCATTGATGAGTTCGTTTGAATCTTCAACTACATTCACACCAAACTTCATCTATGTTAACACATCCATTTCACAAACACACTGAATGCTTTTTGACAAGTAAGTACCTTACCTTTAATGAAAGCAGGCAAACAACAGTCTTGCACTGTTAGCATATGAAACAGTCTTTTTCATCCAGCCTTCCTAGATCAATACTCTTGCAAAACAGTATTTATTCAGGACTTTTCACTTATACATCTCAAACTATGTTGCACCACTTATTCTTTTGACTAGGAAATTATATAATAATTGCAGGAGTTACACTGTTACACCACATGTTCAAAATTATTTGAGATAAGTGTATAAAGGCAGGATACCTGCAGGCATCCCACCTTGGTTCCTCACCGAGTTAGTGAAAGGACTCACAAATGCTAATCACCACCTTTCTGACAAAAATCAATATCTACACCTATTCACCAAACACACTTTTCATGTGAGCACTTTCTGATTAATTTCACTTAAAAACGAGTCAGGTGAAACTGCTGCTGACTTAATGTGACCTAAGAACATACCAGTAAAAGAGGCAATCCCTTCTGCTTCTTGCATAGCCTCTGACAAATGTACAGCTCCAAATCTCACTGAAATATAAATCTACATACAACCGAAAAAAACCCCAAACAAACAAAAAACAACCCACACATTTTCAGTTTGAAGCTTAGCCATGGAGTCAAAAAGTTGTGAGACAAGGACAACACTGATACTTTCTGCAGTAATTTGCAGACCAAACTGACTTGTTCGTCACAAAACCATGGTTTCACATACAGGTTTCGAAAAGTTATGTGAACTACCTCCTAAAGCAGAGGTGAGCTTCAGCAGTTCACTGCTGTCCAGAAATAGTAACCTGGTACCAATATCTGGTTGAGATTTTTATTTCCTTTTAAAGGGTTTTGAGAATGTTTTTTGTGGTGCAGAACAACATCAGGCTCTAACCATATTCTACTGAAATTACACAACCATCTTTCTTTGCAGATGTAAAATCTCTTCTATATGACCTTCTTCAACAAAGGGAATTTTGACAACCAAAAGGCTGTTTGATCTCTAGGGGCAGGTTTTTTTACAATGAAAGTCTATGATTAGATTTTCTTTATACACTTACCCATTATGAGGCTTGTCTGCATCCCCATCCACTGCAATGATACACAGATGTAGAGAGCCATTGCACTCCATACGCTTTACATGTGAGTAGTTCAGATACCCAGATGCATCTTCAAAAGCTAAGATTACAGAAGACAGACTGACCAAATGCTTTTTGCCTAAACAACATACATTACCACTTTGCTTTCAGACACAGCAGCATTTGTAAATATCCTTTAAATATTTCCCTATATAAAGAAGACAAAAGAGAAAGATACCAACAAAGATAAGAATAAACATCAGAACCTCTGCCAACAATGCTGAATCAGAGAGACTTTCCAACATCTGCAACTATTAACAAGTAATTGCATTAAAATAATTTACGGATGTGAAAAGCACATCATTAAATGAAGCCATTTTGCCAATACAGCTTAAAGAAAAAGAATCCATTCAAACAAACAGGATACCTCTGAAATTTAAAGGTATTCAGAGAACTAACCAATTATTTAAAAAAACCCAGACTTTTCTGTTTTGCTATTCAGTTACTCTGAACAGTTACCTATTACTTTAACATTAAACACACAAATCAAGGACTCCACCAACCCTCTAATAATACCTTTAAAAGCAAAATATGTACCTACAACAAGATCACCAAGCTGTTCAATACACAAATATACCAAACCATACAGTACTAATAAATAACAAATGCTACTATATCTAGATTTTATTTCTACCTAGAGATGAAACACTTTTGCCATAAAGATTATGCCTCAAAATTTACCAACATGAATTACAGACAGAATACATAACACAATACACTTCAGAGAGAGTTTGCACCATGTCCCTCTTTCATAGATATGCTTATTTCTTCTCCTTTAATATGTATCCTGTAGTTTTGCCTACAAAAAAAAATACAACCCAGTAAAAGGTTTTCCAAGACAAAAGGTTTTCTTTATCACAAAGACAAAGCTCATTGCCACAGCACTGTCTTTAAAAATCTATTTACCTTAGCTGCTTCTGTCAGAATACTTACTGGATGCTTTCTTTTAAAGCAAAATAAAGAACACTGTAAGTTCAAGAATTACCGCTTTCTACATATTATCAATACTTTTCACTTCAGGCACTGGAAAACTGCTTTGTCTGTCCCTCCTAATAGGCTTCCAATGCTAACCCTTCCAAACCAGCTCTCTACAAAGTAACTGAAGTAAATAGCCTCTGCCTCTTGAGGGCTAATTGCCAATAGAAACCAGCTGCCTTTCCCCAACTGAAGAAAATCCCCACTGCCTCAGAAAATACAAGAAAAAACTGAAGCCAGCAATAGGCAAAAGCAAAAAGAGGACAAAGCAATCTTCCATGGTCTGTTTATGTCACATTCCTTTCTTCCCACCCCGTAACATTTCTTTCTCCAAGTAAAAGACAAAGAATAATGTCCTCTCACAAAGTGGGGAGAGTGAAGAATAACAATTCATTTAAAGCAGTCCCCAAAATGAAAGAGCAGAAGCTGTGCCTCCTATAAAGTAAGAACAAGAAATCACAGTAGCAGTCTTGCATTAGCTAAGAAAACCAAAATAAGACTTGATGGAAGGTGAAAAAGTTCCAGTATACTTAGTGCACCTAGGTTTGGGGTTTTTTTTTCTATCCAGTTCATGATAACAAGCTTGAAAAATGGAAAATATTTAACGCTCAATAAAAACTTTATTTAAGGCCATAATAGAGCAGTCAAAGTTGAGCGATACTAATTTATTACAATACCAAAATCTATACTAAGTAGTAGTAGTCTCAGTGTCCTTGCCTGTGTTGCTCTGTTGTGGCTAAATCACTGGCTAAACAGCACAAGTCTGTTTTAGGCCAAATGATCCTAATTGCCTCTGCCTAAAAAATCTACCATCTGTGTCTGAGAGCTACCCAGTATGTTCCTAGTGGTGTGTGCAAGCCCCACATGGAAAGCAAATTAGGAAGAAAAACATGCTCGAGACCACTTGATAAAGACAATGAGATATTGACAAAACAGAGTGCCATTTCCACATGGGGTCACAGAGTCTATTTACACGGGTAAAAGGGTGTTTTTAATACACAGCAGACGAGGAACACCAGAAGATGCAGGTGCGTTTCAGGTACGTTAGCAACTCCCCTCAAACGCGGGGCTCCCAAATAACACTCACCTTGAGCTGCCAACACACCTGAAAGCCACAGAAGGCCCAATATTAGCAGTATATTACCACAAGTTAAGCTGTAATTACCACACTTCAGCCTGCTCTGGGGGTGGGCAGGCTATGGAGAGGGGATAACTCACAGCCCCCATCTTGAGGCTTCCGGGGGTGTCCACTCCATTCTCCCCGTGCAAACAAAGCCCCCAGAGCCGCCCAGCCCTAAGCCCCACGTCGGATGTGGGGAAGACACCATTCCTGACCATGGCAGTCATCTGAAGGCTAGGCCACATCCTGCCACAAGTCACAGCCCTACCACAACACCTCGCTTACTTGCCTCATCCCCATGCCCTCCTCTCCAGTATTTTCCCTCACCCCCTCGATACAACCCCATAGCACTACATTAACTTATTACTGCTCTGGGGTTCCCCTCTGCCCCGCGTTCAGGCCGATGAGTCCCTTCCGTTCTTCCCCCACGTCACCCGCGCTTCAGCCGCCACCGCCCCTCCCTCCACGGGCAGAGCGGTGGGAGCCCCGGGGCGTGAGGCATGAGAGGAGGAGCGGCGGGTGGGAGGAAGGCGGCTCCGCACACCCAAAATGGCGGCGGTGGAGCTTGAGTGGGTGCCCGAGACGCTCTATAACACGGCGATCTCGGCCGTTGTGGATAGTTACGGGAGGGCCAGGCGCAGGGACATCCGTTCGCTGCCCGAGAACATCCAGTTCGACGTATACTACAAGGTACGGGGAGGTAGCGGGGGACTGAACGCGGCCGGGCCCGGTAGGGCCTGGGGGAGATGGAAGGAGAAGTGGGCCGGGGGAGGAGGAGGGAGGAGAGTTCCGCGCCCGGCCTGCTGCAGGCCTTGCCCCGGGGGGCTGGGTGTGAGGGGGCACCGGGCCGCGTCCCCATGTCGGCTCTGGTGGCACGCCGGAGCGGAGTAGGGCCCGAAGGACGGGCTGGGGGAGCGAGGGCCTATTTGGGGCCGCCGGGGCTGAGGCTGAAGGAGGGGAGGCGCCGGAAGAGGCTCAGGCAGGGCCGGGGGCCTGTGGCTTCCCCCTCCGGTTGTGGGTACGTGCGTTGCTGGAGAGCGTGGGGCCGCGCAGCGGACGCGTCGTTGCGGAGGACATGGGGAAGGGGCCTGACCTTGGGGGCCGGGGGTGAGGCCTGGGGGCGGGGGAAGGTACCTCCTCGATCTTCTCGCCTTTGGAGCCGGAGAACGGGTAGGGGCAGAATGGGACCGCGTTGTCTGTGTTGGAATATATATTTTACTTTTAACGTATTGGAGGAGGTGATGTCAGTGGTATAAAGAGTGGAGTTTGCTGTGCTTTTGTATTTTCTTTAATGATATGGTAGGAACCAGATGAAAAGAATTGAGACTCATTTAATAATGCCGTTTATTAGCCTTAAATCATTCTTTCCTGAAAGGGCTGTTTCTCATTCAGCTGCCTTTAAAATATCCAGAGTTAAAGGTACACTGAGATGGTCCATTAATTTCTATTGTCCACTAAATGGGCATTTCATCCGTGTGCAGGAGCAGCTGTAAATGAGCATTCACCAGGGGAGAAACAGAAAACCCAAATCCAAACACACCAAATAACCCCGGACAAAGGAAACCTCTAAGATGGGGGATCACCCTTCTTTCCTCTGTCAGCAAATTTCTAAAAACACAGGATGTGCTGAATGAAGTGATTCTTTAGATGAATCTTTATGACTGGGCGTACTGGCTCCTCACATATGCAGAGTAATAGTAGTATTTACAAGGAAGGCTGTTCTTCACTAGAGACAGGAATTGTTTCTGTAGCACTGAAAGAGGCATGTATGTTTTCTGTAAACTAGCTATTATATGTCTGTCTTATATGTTGAGAAACATGGAAACTCCTTTTTACCACATACAAGCATGCTCATGGATAATGATGTGGCTCACGTACAGCAATTATCCAAGACTAAAGATATGGAGCTAATAATGTGGAAGGATATTTGAGGGTTTATTTTTAACTGTTGGTAGGTACCACCATTGACAAATAAACTTTATTAGCATTGCCTGTCCTGGTGTTCATTCAGATGAAAGGATGGCACTTGGTGGCTTTTAAAAGCATAAAACTAAAACCCGCCAGTACATACTTGGCATGTATTGGTACATCCAAGTATTACTCCCAGATTGTTTAAAACCTTATCTTTGTGTGAGCATAATAGATCATTGATTTCTTATCCTTTTGTTTAGCACTCTTCAGTGGTTGTGTTGAATCAGAATCATGTGGAGCTGTTCCATGATGAAAAATGAACCAGCAGTATATCTGACTTTTAAAGACTTTCTAATCTGTTTGTTCTGCTTGTGTACATTGGTATGTCATCTTGTTGGGCAGATGATAAACATGCTAAGTCCTCAAAATAATGTTTTGCTGTACTAATCACTAGCCAGTATTCTCTCTGTTAATGACAGCAATTTGCATTGCTTTTGCTATTGTTTCTGTGGTTTACAACAGGACGATCTTTGGTAATCTGAAATGTGTGAGGTGCACTCATATTCCTCTTGCAAATACATGTCTGTGAGATGTCCCCATATAGGGTAAATAAAACCTGGCTACACAGTGCAGGTGTTTTGCCGCGGCTGCCAATGGGAGGCTGGTCTTCCGTGTTTTCACTACTTGGGTCATTAACACTTTTCCAGTGTAGGTGACCTGGCCTCTTCAGTAGTCACATTCAAGTTAGCTTATACCAAATGTAACTTAATCTTTGATAGGATGCTGAGAGGAAGTCCTCTGCCCTTAATAAATGGTGTTCTGTATGCAGAGATGTCTGCCTGCAATGAATAGCTTGAAGCCTAGCCCAGATTACAAGTCTTTTGGAACAGTGTTTGCATTTTATATGCACCTATACAATGATTAGTGGCTGGTTCTTGATGTCTATATTTGGATGGCTACAGCAATACAAATGACATAGTGAATTAGGTTAGGATGAGGACAGCATCACACCTTTGGACAGTGTTGTATGTGGTGCTTGTTTTACTGTTTTGGTTCTGGATACAGTTATTTTTGAGCTGTGTTCACTGCGTCCTGACCAGCAAGTTCTTTAAAGCAGACGTAGAATTTCCAAAGTCGCGAATAGTTTTTCAAGTTAGAAAAGCCAGAAGACTTAAGTGGTAGTGGTTGCTGCTGTGTTGAGGGGGTGTTAGTTGTTAGTATCATGTGGAATAGTAATTATTCTTTAAATACAGCTGAGGAAAAGTGACTTGTAATTGAGGATTTGTATTAACATACTTGCATTTAGACCTTGAAAAAAGCAGAGAGTCACATTCTGTGATTAATAAAAGGAAGAAAAATGTATGTTAAACACTAGAAACAACTTTCAAGTAATGGTTTGTTATCCAGGTATTAATCATATTGGGGATATTGGGGAAACTGCTGCTGATTTTGTAAGATATCAAAGGTCTTATCAGTCAGATTTTATTTTGATACACAGATGTTCATTGGAAGTAGCAGTACAAAACTTACTTTTGTCATGCTCATATTTTTCTTTTACTCATACATATTGGTATGAACACTCAACATTTGCCAGTCTTGCACAGTTTGCCAACCTGTTCCCATTGATTGACAAGGTAAGCTACACGACTATTGCAACAGCAGAGATAATCAATGTGTTATTATTTCAAAGGGAGAAAAATGCTAGCAGATTGTCTTTGGTCATTGTTTTTTCCCCAGGGCACCCTCTAATCCAGTGGTTGGCTCTATTGTTACGATATGTTACCTTTATTTCCCATTCCCTAAGAAATGCAATTGCTTTTAATTCTAAAATTCCAGAATTGTTAACTTCTAGGACTCGCTTCATAAACCTATGCAGTTAACAAGGTATCAGGTGTGGGACAGTTGCAGAATGTTCTTTGTTGTGGACTTGGTAAGAAATGGGCTGTGCTGCGAGTTGACGGAAGCAGGCAGGTTCCTCATAGTAAGTGTATTTATCTTTCTGTAGTTTTCTTGAGCAATGACTAAAGTTTAAAGTGAGGCAGGATCAAATAATCATGATTATAGTAAAACAACAAAAGTGTAGTGGTCCAGAAGGGTGTTACTGGATTTGACTTTTCTTTGCAACCATTAGAAAAAGAATAGAGACCGGACAGGTCTCTATTAATCTCAGCTGCATTTTGAAGATCTTATAAGTAGTATTGTTACAAGTCACACCTGCATCTGAGGGGGGGAAAAATACAGATGTGCAAACATATCATATTTTGTTTCCTTTGTGTCTTTGCCAGGCTTGTGTATATCCTGCTTGTGTTGTTTCCTGGTAGAACTAGTTAGGTTCTCTTTCTCGTCCTTTGGGGGGGAAAGAGAGAGAGAGGAGGTGTAGTTTGTAGAAGCCAAAGAAAAAATATGCTGGATCTCATGTTAAATAGGATATGCCTAGCAGGCAGCGCTTGCAAATGCCAAAATTCCGTATTAAAAAGCAGGTGACAGCCGGAATAAACTGTAAATCCTCAAGAAATCAGAAAATGAGGAAAATAAAATTAAATATTTTGTAGTTTGTTGGGGAGAGGATAGTGTTTTGAGGGAGGTAATGTAAAGAATCTTGTTTCTGGTGATAGAAATAAGATACATCCAGTTTGACTGTTCAGTTACTCTTTTATACAGAATTCAGTTCTTTCCCCTGTGCCTCATCTGTACATTCTATTTCGTGTAATGATTTCTTTTCTTTGGTTCATAGATTTATTGCAGTTACACACTAGCAGAATGGCCTTGGTCTAATATTGGCTAACAGAGTTTCATGAAATGTTTATTATCCTTTTGGAATGTCTTTTCCGGATCATGTTTTTCTCTTTTTACACTGATTTTCCTTGAAAATCATTTGGGTTTAATGTTCTTTGCATGTTTTGTGATGAGATCATCAACCACGGGAACAATTGGAGATGCCATTAATTTGTTAGTGCAGACCTGTAACCTTCAGTAATTGCACTCTAACTTGTTTTGCATTTAATTTTTAGGCAAAATCCAAAAGACTATAATTATGCTTTCTCTTTGAAGTGGCAGATTAAACTTCTGAAGTGCTCCTACCTCGGTGTGAATCAAAACATCAGATTCTGAGTTTACGTCCTGATAGCTCCAAATTCTATAACAATGAGTGTAGCTCCTGTATCATGTCTCTTTGCTGTTTCCTGCTAATACAAGAAAGCCCAAGCATGGCTAATAAAAGCTCTTGGGTCGCATCTGGATATTCTCTGAACCAAGTAAAATGAATAAACAGGAATTTGCTGACTGTTCACAACAAGCAATAGAACATCCATTCTCTGCACTGCAGTAGAGAGTTGGGGTTTGGTTATTTTACTGATGAAGAATCATTATAAGCATAATTTCTGTAAATTTAAATAAAACCAGTTTGTCCCAAGGCTTCAATCTCTTGGGTATTTGATGAGAATGAAGAGGATAAACTACCCATGAAATAAAGTGTAGCTTTGCTGCTTTAGTTCTGAGGCTTTCTGATCAGAGGAGTGTAAGTGACGCTTGAGGGAGGCAAAAAATCGCAAATAGGTCATATTTTCTAGGACTTCTGCTGTGACTGACCAGTGTGACTTCACACAGACCTGATTGCACTGATGCTGCTGGATTTTGGGGGATCATAAATGAATGTATATGTGGGAAATGATAATGATTTCTGCATGTGTGCACACATGTCCAACCATTCTGATGATCTGGTTAGACTGAGTAATGCGTACAGTAGGACTTCACCAACTCCTGCTTGAATTAAATGATGT